TATGTATATATATGTATATACAGTATATGTATACGGTATATATGTATATATATTATATATATATATATATAAATCTTAAGCTTTTCTATTTTAAAGATAACCAGGTTTCTCAATTTTATTTTCTTCGTTGCATTTAGTTGTTTTAATAAGCTATATAATTTTACCTGTGGTCCACGGTTTTTCTCCTCTCTGGATTCCAGTTACCTTCAAAGATGTTTTGGTGGTGGTATAAAGGCATTTGCTTTTATTGTACATCAGCAACTGTTATGACTTAAGACCAGGATTATTCCTGGATACATCTACCAAGCTCATTTTGGCCAGAATCAATGAGAGATATATACATTTTTTACCGAGTTGTTTTGATTGTTGTCCAGGCACTACAAAAATGTAATTTTTATTAATTTTTTTTAATAAGTAGTTTCTGGTGGGCGAATCAAATGAAATGTACAGACTGCAGCTATCCCAGAGTGTGGTGCTATTTTGTACATTTTGGGACGTTCAGTCAATAACTTGACCTCCATAATTATCTCTCACATAAACAAGAATTCTTCTCGTTTTTTCTATGTTTATTCTGAGACTACTATGTCCTAGTTGTCTTGGGTTTACTAAATACGTTGAAATTTGAAATCCTGTTTGTTCTGTAATAATTTTGTGTGTTATACATGATTTTGACACCACACAAATATATCAGTTCATTTTGTTAATAAAATCTGTAAGAATTTGTCAATTTTGTTCAGAATCTAGTATTTGTTTACAATGGTAACCCGGTTTGAATATTATTTCTATCAAAGCTCTACCTCTGATTTCTTTATTGAAGAATAATTTAATGCCATCAATTCGAGTTGTAAATATTATATTTATCTTATTTGGGTTAAGTCTTGGATACTTTATTTTTTCGAGGTACGCACATTAATTCTTATTGACGAATATATATTTGGGATATTAGATGTTTTTGGAGTGTGACTCTTTACATGAAAGGCAGTCACAGCTAGCTATGAGTATTATTATGATTTAGCTCTATTTTATCAGATCAGATCAAAACGTAGAATGTAAGTAAAGCAAATTGGTCTATCTAGATAAGTAATCAACATTCACACACCGTAATGTATATACACATATATAGATATATCTTTTATATACATAATAAATATATTATCTTACAGTCTACTTGGCAACAATAAGATAACTAGCCTACCAGACCTTGCTTTCAATGCTTCCAGGGGCATCGGAGGAATTTTTCTCAATGGAAACTTATTGCAGAGAATCCCAAGCGGTGCATTCGCTAAATTGCACCAATTGAGGGAACTGTAAGTTTGGAGTTTTGTTGGCCTAGCTGTGTTTTATTTTAAGAGTGGGTTTTGAACCCAAGACTGTAATATTATTAGTCATGAAGCCAACTCTCTTTGGATTTTTCCAATCGGATGCGTTTTTCTCTCTTTCTCTCAAGGTATTACATAGGCCTAATACGTAATGAACATAATAGAGTCGGCTTATATGGCTAGTAAGTCTAAATACTTAATAGTGTGACCTTTAAAGAAAATGTCAGCCACTACTAGCTTATCAAAGTAAACATACAAAATATAAAGCGTAGTGATTGACTAAAATTATTGTAATAAAAGAATGAATAAACAGTAACTAAATATGGTGATTTTTTAATCATGTAAGTACATTTTTAAAAAGTCATTTGAGCACATGTTAATCACCTCTTTACATGCCACTGCAAGTTTATATTGGTTTTCAGAAAATTGGGTTTTTACTAATGGTTTCTATTTCATAGATATCTTTACAAAAACCAAATCACGTATATAGAAGCTGGTGCTTTTAGTGATAATGTACTGGAACGGCTGTGAGTATTACTTAGTTTAACGAAATTGTCAAAAGTGCAGTCTATAATTTAGCTACACACAGTAGGCCTTGAGCTTAAAAACAAATAATATTTGGCTACAATTATACCTCTTTTTACCAAAACATGGAACGAATGTGAATGATTGGTATGCTAAACTATTTTTAATAAACAATAAAAGTGGTGAATTAATGAACTACTGTATGCCAATATTTACTACGAATATTTTTCTTTTCTGTATTCTTATAAATGATGCTATTCTTCGTTTTTTTTTTTATTCGAAAATATTGTTTTTATATGCCAATAGGTATCTGTTCGATAACCTGTTGACGGCTATAACACCAAATTTATTTGTAACGTCATTTCAGTCAATCTTAAACTTGTGAGTTCACAATAATTTATCTTCATAGTAAAATATTTGTATTTGATCTACCATGTATAGACCTATCAAATGGGTAAAGTTAAGTGTAAACAATGTAGTATTTGTTGCTAAACAAATAGCTTTCAATATTTGGATTAAATAAGGAAAAAGATTTTTAAAATGGTTATTAAACAAAAAACAAAACAAAAAAAAGAGTAGATTATCATCCGACTCTAAATATAATTTAACATAATAATTTAATTTGGTGTTCAATGTGTTCCATATGTGTTTGATCCAATGACCGAGGTAGTAATGTGAAGCGCTTAGAGGCTTTTTAAGGCATTAAGCGCTATATAAGAACGACATATTATTATTATTATTATTAAATGGTTATGACAAAGAAAATCATAAATAAAATTTTGGAGGATCTTTGGAGACAAAAGCCCCATTTTATAGATTAAATAAGAAATAATAATAATAAATAAAAATGAGTTATATAGCGCTTCATGCCAGCATGTTTTCTAAGCATTACACATTATTACCCCGGTAATTGGATCCAACATTGAAAGAAGATTTCTGCATCAGCAGAGATAGACCTGATGAAAGCAGATGACTTAGACCTATTTCAAAATCGTGCTTATTAAAGAAATTTTGTTAAAGGGTTCCAATCGCCAGATTTATAATCTACTAGTCTATGGATTAGAACTGAAAACATTATCAATGTTGTACATCTCACATTAGAAGCTGTTACAAAAACTTTTCTTTATATTTTTCATAAACAATCTAGCATTAAAAAGTGTTTGTACTTCATATTCTAAAACGTTCAACCATAGATTTTTAATATCGATGTGTACTAACCACATACTTGGATAATGGGCCACGTAGATATGAAGCCATATCGACCAGTTAGGGAGCGTTATACTTCGGCCTAAGTGTATCATGTAACAAAACAACAATATTAGATTTGTTAGAGAATGTTTACAATCTAATAGTGTTTATTTTTATTTGAGTGTACTCACCTATATTTTAATCTAACAATCTAATATTCTTTTCTTTTCTCAGGTATTTGTTTTTTAACCCTGTCAAAACTATTCATCCTCAATCATTTACAGAGTTAGCCGACAATGCTACAATGTAAGAAACTAACAAATAAGTCTGTTTTCAGTTAGCAACCTTTGATTTGGAAAATTCAAACAACCAGAGGTGCGCTCACTTCTCTCGCTTACCCTATAGTATTAGTTGCGATTAGGTTTAGATAAATAGGAACAATTATTTATCAACACTAAAAGAAGTTGAATGTTGCATGTTATCTAAGAACACGCCATCCTATCTTTGTGAACACCCATATAATTTCTGATGACGAACGATCTGTAGGCCTATTTTTTATCGCCGATTACTTTTTGAGAAGGTAGTAAAGCGTTTATGCAAGGCATTTTTAAGATTTAATTTGAAGGGTAACACTCATGTGTTGAAAATTCATACCAAATACAGTGACCCAAACCGTATTGTTAATTATGAATGGCAGAGGGCTAAATCGATTATTAAACACTTTGCTCATTGGAGTTTTGATATTTAAGCATAATTTACTGTTTATTAAAGTGTACTTTACGTATTTATCGTACAGACACCGTTTATTGGCAGTGGAAAAAGAATTGTATCTTGTATTTAGTATTATTTTTGTAGGCCTATGTTTAAAATTGAATACAAATGCAGCTAATCCGAACCGTATTTGGTACTACTGTATTGCAATTTGTTTGAATTCCATTAAAAGTTGCTATGAATTTTCAACAGAATATTCTCAGCAGTTATCAAGCACACAAATTACACCTCTGCACATTGAAAAGTTCAACTTTTGTTTTTGATTTTTTTGCTGGTGATTAAACTATAGTGACGTCACACCGCGTTGTTGTCTGTAGTGGGTGAATGGTATAAAATTGCCTTTATTCAGTTTTTTATATTGTGTCGTTTTATATGTTAGTATTGTGTACTGGATGCCCTAACAAATGTTGAGTGCACTGTTTCGAAAGTGAGATCCAAATAAAGTTGAAAAGTTGAACTGCTGACTACTTAAACACGGCTAGAGAATGCAGAAGTATGTAAACGTCAATAATAACACGTGGTTGCTCTGTCGGCTGTTGTGGCCGGAAATATATAAATAACATTCTAAAATCTGCATCTTTCTTCCGATCAGCATTAAATGCGGGAAGGACCAAGATGCATGGTAAAATTGTCAATGTTTAAAAGTCTGAAGTAAATCAGTCCAATAGTTTTTGAGTTATGCGCCCGGAAGCACACACACTCACCACAGACAGACAGCACCACAGAGACACTCAGAGACACAGACGCGAGCTATTGCAATACCCTCACCTCTTGGTAAATGTACCGTAATATATGCCTGGAAATTTATCCAAAATACATTGAACAGCAGCAGCCTTATACAATTAACAATGTTCTGAGAACCATCTGACGAGAAAGGTGCGCTATTGCGACCTGGTGGTACTCCAAGCAATTTTAAATGCTACGGCAAAAGAAAATTCAAAAGGCATAATTATTATTATCTAATCAAATATCATAATTATTATCAGCATTATATCATAGTTATCAATGATCAAATATCAGTCCTCAATATTTTTCTTTTTTTTCAGTATTGGAACATGTTGTGACTTGGAAAATATCCCAAAACTACAGGCACACATATCTTTGTGAGTATTGGTACTTATGGACAAATTAATGATTGTAAATGTCCCATTAATTTACTATTACAGTATTGTGTTCCCATTTGACAAGGGGATGCTCAGGCTACACTGCCATCCTATCCGCTCATCTCAAAGTTTGCCATTTTCTCTTCTATTAATTCTTACAATGTTTCAATATTTTCTGTTCGTTTTTTTTTTTCTTTTTGTTTTGTTTGTTTGTTTGTTTTTGTTTGTTTTCTGGCACAATGTTTTATAAGTTGTTCCGATCTATTGATATAAAGAAATTAATTTGTTTTTAGGCATATTCTTAGTGTACAGACTCACCTTTACTAACTAATTGCCAATATCTAACGTAATTGCGGTTGGGAAGATCAGGTGTACAAGATGATGGCTTGAAGATGCTCCGATTCGAACGTTAAGAGCAATGCCAGTCTTTTTATAAACTCGATCTGTCCTACTCACTTTACTACATTGTGATTGCACAGATGTATTGTTATATAAAATTATCTCAATACTTTATAATACCAACTCTATTAATTAATTTGCTTTGAAATAAAACAAAACGTAGCCAGTGACTGAGCGTATTTTTTTACGGACAGAATTTAAATCATAAACATTAGGCCTAACACACATTGTTAAGTTATTGACATACTCACCGTATTTTAAAAAATAAAGACGACATAATGGTTCAGAAATTAATCTGACAATGGTTGTAACATTTACGAGATACGATCTTATTGACATGGACATTGCGTTTTATCAAGGTGTCTTATTGATTACCAACAATTATTTATTCAGAACTTGTGTCAATGAATTCCGAGTGCCACAACTGATGTTCCCGATGGTGGTGTGCGATACTCTGAATGGAAATGGCTACAAGTGTTCAAAAAAAGTAATGAGAAGGTGTCATTGTGATCCATGTTCTAAGGGCTACTATGGAGCTATAATAGATTTTTCATGTGTTCCATGTCCACCAGGTAATTTACTTACCACTGCCAATGATTAAATCATACTCAACATCCTCATCCTTTTAATTTTTATTTATTTTAGTTATTCTATTTTTTCAAATTCTCATCGGAAAATACTAGATAAATTAATACTTTTATTATTATGTTCCAGGGAGCAGTCGTATGTAATATGACTGCTCCCTGTCTTATGTTCAAACAGTATCAGACAGTAATAATAATAAGAATAACAGCAGCATTGTTGATATATTTTTTTTAATGAGCTCTTTCATCTACTGTCTCTTTTAGGAGGTTATTACCTTGATGAAATCGGGGTCTCGAAAGGATTCACATATAGCGATAACTGTAAGACGTGCAATAATGGCACATACGTCCCACCGGAACGAGCTCCTGGCAGGTCTCTTTCAGAATGTCAAGTATGTCCATTTGGTACACAGACTAATAAGGTTGCTGGCTCCCGAGCCTGTCAATGTATAGAAAATTACCATCGTGTGTACCGGTTTGGACGTTGTTTTAAGTGTACAACCAGGGGAATTAAGTGCCCTTCTGAGTATCAACAGCTAAAGCCTGGCTTTTGGTGGTACTGGCAGTCACTAAATAATTTTTACCAGTATTCAAATTTTACCATTGCTCTTGCACAAGAGAACTATAACAATCCTAATGTCAGACGATATTTACATTTCTCGGGATCACTGCCATACGCCCAGGAGTGTCCAAGACCAAAAAGTTGCCCCGGTGACACAATATACGCCAGTTGTGCCGACGGTTTTACAGGCTGGATGTGTACACAATGTAAAGATGGCTTTTACCCTTGGTTTGACTCCTGTAATAAATGTCCTTCTGTATGGCATTTTCTGCTTATTTACAGCGTTATCATCTTGGCATTGCTCATTCTTACTGGATTAGTCTTGTGGGTAGATTCTAAACGAAAGAATACTAGCTTGGAATCTAGAACCACAGCTGATATGGTGTTAGCCAGAGTTAAAATTGTGATTGGGTTTTATCAAGTTCTTGCTGGGATATTTAGTACATTAAGCTACATTCACTGGCCTGAGGCTCTGGCAAATATTGGACAACATCTGCAGAACATTGCTTTAAACATCATTAAGATTGCCAGCCCACAGTGTCTTGATCCTCGATTCAAACTGAATGCTTATCGTGAATTCATATTTGGAATAACATGGCCCATAATTGTAATATCATCTATCTACTTAATTTACATAATCAAGAAATTTATTTCGAAATCGAAATACCCTAAAAAAGAGCTTCCATCAAAAATGGCGGAAACTAAAAGACTATGCTTCCAGTATACACTTTCTTTGCTTTTCTTGACGTATCCCAACTCATGTAACACAATTTTTTCTCTCTTTCCCTCAATCTGTAAGAGCTTCTGGATTGATGAAAATAAGAATTACCAGCAAACTAGACTGAAGTCTGACTTTTCAATCTCCTGTGAAGATGACAAGTATAAAATATTTATGTTTGCAGCCTACACAAGTCTTCTCTATGTCATAGGCTTTCCATTGGGTTTGTTGTTTCTACTTTGGAAATTTAGAAATAAGTCTTGTCAGCAAAGCGATCATGTTACAAATGTTCTGTCAGTGACTTCAGATATAGGTATTGTATATGAAGACCCAAGCATGGTTTATTTTGATGATGATCTGGATGATGCGTCATCGCGACGAACATCAATTCAGACAACGGTCTCAGATAGAATGTTTGGTTTTAATGACCCTTATGGTCTTAGAGCTTTTCATGAAAGTTACAACTCAAGATGCTGGTTCTGGGAAGTAGTTGAATTGGTGCGTAAACTAACACTTACGTCGCTCATTATCTTCTTCGGCTCGACTAGTAGAACACAGATCGGAGCTGCTGCGTTTCTGGCGATTTTGTTCTTGATTTTGCACGTAGCTTTTAGGCCAATGAAAGATAACTTTGAACATTGGTTACAGTTGCTGTCTTTGGCTACTATTGTCCTCAATCTTCTGATTGGCGTGATATTGATGGTTCCTGTGGACGATAACATCAATCAAACTAAGCTGGATCGAGCCGATGAAGTTGGTGTCCAGATTATACTTGTGTTGGTTGATTTTGGAATCATCATGTTATTTGTAGGTGAGTACAGTAATGGTCCACCTCAGGTGCCATGTAAATGTAAATACAATTGTAACGCTTTTCTGGTGAAGTAACAAATACAGTTTGCTTGTGTCCTTGAGCAAGGCCCTTTATCTACGTTGCTTCTCACTCAGGAGTTTTCGGCACCTGGCAGAGTTGTCTGCTATTGCACCAAATATTTTTTCCAAAAATTTTTTTCTTTATTAAAATCCAGCCCTCTTGATTGTTTTTATCTCTCATTTTATCTTCCAGTTTCTACATTCCGATCTCTGTACAAGGCCTTGAAATACATCTCAAAAGAAAATGAAAAGAAGGTGAATGTTGACAATTACTTAAGATTCGTAAAGGAAGAGATCAATAGCTCACTTGATATACAGTCAGACCCTTTATTTTAAGAGTATTAAACTATTTAAACAAAGAGATATATGAAGTGTATTTATTATGCCGTCAGTGCAGTTGTATCGGCCTAATTATAAGGAGATGATGTACTTACTCTACTGCCTCCTTGCCAAGTATAGTCTGACGACTTTTCCATTTGGGCTGCTCTGTGCTTGTACAAGTTGTTTTCATGCTAGTCGTTCTTTGGCAAGTTGTTTCATGTCTTTTATTATCTTCAACTGACAGGGGTTTGTTCTGTAGGGGTTTGTTCTGTAGGTGTTTGCTTTATGAAGGTTTAGTAGATTGTTAGATAGAGTTATTGGTAGGGTAGATCTTTGCTGTCCTCGCAATGTAATGTATATTTAAGATGTTAAAATATGATTGTTAGAGCATTAGCGTTGAGATTATCAAATACATAAACAAGTGGTTCTTAGGAAATATATTACAAAAGGGATTAATTTCGGCCATTTAATCAGAACGTTTGATAAATCAAAGAAAATCTGTGTACGCAAAAAAAAACAACATAAAGGTAATACTTGAATACCTACATTGTAGAGCTTTAAGTTTGACTTGAAGTAATTAATTGTGTACATGATTAAAAAATGAAAATGACTGTATTTGATTCTTTATAATTCTTATAATTACATTATATATCACTTTAAAACATCTTAACTTCAATAGGTTTGATAATTTAATTTAATTTAATTCTTTTTTAAGCTTTTATTTATTTATAAACTTCCATTATGTTTGAAATGTACCGTAAATCCTCGAATAATCGCCGCGGCGCTTATAACATTTTTGGAGGCTTCAGTGCGGCGGTTATTAAAAAAATATATTGGCGGGGCGCTTTCATGCCCGTTTCCATGTTGCCGGTCTCAAGTATTCCCGTAGACTATGTAACACGGACTATCTATACTTGGGACATTTTAGGTTATTATTTCTTTTAAAATTACGGTTAACTTTCTGAAATTAAATTCCAGTAGACAAATTTTATGGAACCGAGTTTATGGAAAATAAATAGCCGAACCTATGTCACACTGAACTGCAGTAAAGTAAGAAAAAAAGAAGGAAGGTTAGACTGAGTATTTAAATCATCGCAAATATATGTTTATAAAGATATGCCTGTGTCTTCATTGTGTTATTTATTCATTTCATTTGTATACATCGTATTTAAAACCTTGTCATTCAAGATTTGTATTGCTATCGTGGACAGAAAAATCAATGGCGTACATTCGAGTAAATTGTTTAACGATTAAAACATTTTGACCCACTAGTTTTTTTCCGATGGCCTGGCAAATGTTTTTTTTTGTTTTTTTATAGTACGTCAATTGCTGTGTATGCGGGTCATTAGTACATGGACTGCACCTGCATTTGGCATGGGATCCGAACCGAATTTGGGACCGCGTTCCTCGTCCGCTGAACACTAGCGTCCCTATCTGATCGGTTCGGTCGGCCTTCCGATCCGAAAATTCCGATTCGGTGTGAATGTAGCTAAACACCAAAACGATTAATTTGATTAGCGTAGGGCTTACATGGGTCATTAAGATCAATGGTCAATGGTCAGTGGTTGTGTACTTGATAACGCACATAACATTCTTCTCTATGCACTTTCCAGGACAACAGAAAAAGAAAAAAGAAAGAGAATAAATGGTTGAAAGGGAAAAGAATGGTAGAAAACAAAAACATAACACAAATAAAAGAAAGCGAAAAGAAACAAAACAGAAGAGTAGAGGAAACAGTAGAGATTGTCAAATAAGAATTATTTAAGACGGCGCTTAAAAGATCATCAAATTAGGAGACTCTTAACAGATTGCTGTATGTAAATTACAGAGATTGGGGCCAACGACTGAAAAGAATCTCTCTCCATAAGCTGATTAACATTCCTACACCACAATGCATAGCTTGCTTCAGTCATACTAATTAGCACCAACAACCGTTAACATACTAATTAGCTCCAACAATTCAACAACCATGAACATACTATTTAGCGTCAACAATCGTCATTATAGGTTAATTATTACACTTACAGTTATTACAATTACTAATTATATACATATATAAATAAAAATTAATGTGTTGATGACTGCTTTGGCAGTGCATTTTTCCTCCAATACACATAATACTATTAACCAATGTATCTAAAATTAGGGCCTATATAAATTGTTATTTTCAGAATTCGTATATGACTTAAAAGTTTATAATATATTCAGTTTTTGTCTTTAATTTAACACTCGACCAATGTATCATAGAGACATGCAAAAATGTTAACAATATAATTGCATGCGTATTGGTTGCTGGAATATTCGTAGCTTGCTATAGGCCTTTTCCGAATGGTGTTCTTTATTTTATAGTCATTCGAACAATTGGTCTGCGATCCAAATTCGCAATCCTAATTTCATGATCGACACATTATTTATATAATGATTCTGATTTGTACAATGGAAAACAAACTCTCTAGGACAGAAAAGTTTGCTATAGTAGCTAACATTTCAAGTCATAGGCATAGCTTTTAATCGAGCCTTTTCCACTCAACTTTTAACTAATTTGTCATTAAACAATTCCAATTCCGATGTTAATGTATTAGGCATATTAACTTCGAAAAAGCTGAGTGAATGTCACATTTTTATAACCACGGATTGGTTGTCAATGTAGTGTGTATAAAACATTGTGGGTACACGGAGCAATTTTACCCCGTCCGCGCGGCGGCGCTATATAGTAATAATAAAGGCGCCGCTTTGGTTCGTTTGTTTCCTGTAGTTTCTCCACTTCGTAAAATATTCAAATTTTACCCCATTCGCGGGAGAGCGGATGTGCCATCAATTTTAATGCAAATACGCTTAACAGCTCATTCTTCTGCTATTTAAGTTCTTTGCTTAGGCTTACACAATATCAGTTTTTATATTGCGGCCAACTGACCTATACTATTTTAATATTTATAAATAATAATAATCAAATTAATAATAGAATAAAAGATTTGTATAGGGCTCGCTCATATTTAATTTTAAAGAACAACAACCTAGATACCCTATTTACGGATCATTGAAATCACTAAAGCCGGCCAAAAAAGCTAAAATTAATGAAACTGGCTGTTCAAAGTTGGGCTGCCAACACTGATTTTGATAAAGCAGACTGGACGGTAACAAGACAAATGAATTCTTCTTGCTTATCCCCCAACGGTACTAAGAGTAGATATTTTTGATTTTTGTATTGGATGGGTCATTATAAGCTTAAAGCTTTCTAAACGACCCAGTAATTCAAGCAAGTATTCAAGCAAGTAAAGGATTGCCCTTTACTTTTTAAACAATTTTCTGACAGTGATAATTAGGTGTACTATCAATTTGTGAACGAAAATGATGCGGCCCACTTGACATATACTCTTTTAATATTATTATAAATAATAATAATAAGTAGTGATTTTTAGCAAAAAAACCTTACAGTAGTATGAAAACATAAAGATATGGCTAGCACATTTGTCTTTAGTAGTCATCTAAGTTGGTAAAACGACAATGTCGATAAATAGGCCTTTTTTTATTTGATTATGATCTCTAAAATAACTTGTTGTTTCTCTTTGCAAAACTAGGATATTTTGTTGTTTTATTATCGTTTTTCCAACAGAAATTAAATAACAAACAACATAGTAATCGACACTAATATAAAAGAGTAACTAATCTTAATTACATACCGGTAGTACATTTTGATTGCGGTAGTCATGTGATTGCGATCCACCCAATCACACGCGCGTATAGCAGAATCCCGTTAAACCGAGTTTGGCCAAACTCTCTATTACGGCTCTGAGTCTGACTGACTCAACTGACTCCAGAGTTCCTATCTCTATATAGGAACTCTAACTGATTCCTGACTGACTCTAGAGTTCCTAGGAATCTAATCGGACTCCAGAGCCGTAGATAGAGCATAGAGCTATTATTCTTATTATATCTCTATGAGATAAAGAGAGTTTGGTCAACTCGGTTTCACGGGATTCTGCTATACGCGCGTGTGATTGGGTGGATCGCAATCACTTACACCGGCCATGTTGTCACCAAATCAAAACATTGGCGAGCCACAAACTAACGCGATAGAATACTGTATATTAAAATCCCATAATATTATATTGATATTATTAATTGATTATATTATTATTATATTGATTTGCACAAGTAGTGTGGATAATGGCGGTTGTAACACAAACTATGCACAACGAGCATAGGTATTTATTGCAATTTGTTTATTAAGTAATATTATTTCTGATAAAAAAAAGAGTTTTGTTTTGTAGGTTTTATTTGCAACCCAACATATTTATTGAAATTTGTTTAAGTAATATTATTTCAGATTTAAAAAAAAAGTTGTTTTGTATGTTTTATTTTCGAACACATCGCAAAAGTGACAGTAGCCATTTAGCTTTTATCAAAATGAATGCACTCTTCTCGTGTTCTCACATGTTACAAGTTGGGAACACCGACTTCACAAGCTAAATGAATCAGACAGTCAGACAGTGCAGACAGTTATGACAGAGCGCCCCCAAACGTATGGAATGGGACACAAAATGATGAGGAGCAAAGTTTTGCTGAGTTGTTGTGAGCGCCACACACAGAGAGGTGGAAAATTTGAATTTATAAATATACAATACATAATATTATTATTATTAGAAAGCATGGTCTCTGAGCCAAATCCTTATTCTTCTTGTAGGTCTGTATCAACTCTAATAATCCTGAGCCTTAAAATAGAGGCTCTGCTAGTAGGCCTAGAGTAGTACTGCAACAGTAGGTACTACTAGGCCTAGTACTACTAATCTATAGTAGCCTAGTAGTAAGTAGTACTAGGCCTAGGTAATGCGTACTACTACTAGTAGTAGCCTACTAGCCTGGGCTAGGCCTTAGTAGAGTAGAACTGTAGGTAGGTAGGCTAACATAGGGCCTAGGCATTGTAGGGCTAGTATTAGTAGTAGTAGTACCACAACACAGTAGTGACATACTGTTACTGGTAGTAGTAGAGTAATATCTGCCTAGAAAGAGAAAAATCAAATTTCAGTCTTATTTTACATTTTTTTCATTCTTAGGAATGTCTAAATTCAGTTAAACTAGCAATTCCGTATTATATTTATAAATCTTTATAACATTATACAAAAATTAAATTTTCTTAAAAATTGAAATTTTGCCGGGAATGGGGCTTTAAGTGCAATCGACCATTATATGGGAATTCCGTTAAGTGACTGTGATTGGATGTTCACTTATAAGGTATATTTCCATTAAGGGATGGTGATTGGCTGTTGAATTTTCCGCCTGTGAATCGTCATCGACTGCCTAGAGCTAGAGAAAAACTTTTTAATCCTTTTGCTATACGGTTTAATTATGTTTAAGTGGTTTATTTAAAAAAAGTACGAAGTTACGCAAAATTTAAAAAGTGTTATGTCTGAATCTGGGAGGCATTTGGAGCAAGTGGCTATAATGTGGCTTCTCAAGCTATTGCGCGTGCCAGAGACCAGGTTAGGCCTTCTACTCAGTGCTACGAGTAGGCCTAGTAGTAATAGTAGGCCTATTACCACCACGTCTTCTAGGCCTAGTAGTACTACACCTGTCTCTTATACACATCTAGATTCAGTGTTTTATAAAATGTTATAAAGCTATACGCGCGCACGCTGTTTGGTGACGCGCGCACGCTGTTTGGTGACAACATGGCGCCCATGCGCCAAGTTGGCCAAACTCTCTCTATCTACGGCTCTGCAGACAGTTATGACAGAGCGCCCCCAAACGTATGGAATGGGACACAAAATGATGAGGAGCAAAGTTTGCTGAGTTGTTGTGAGCGCCACACACAGAGAGGTGGAAAATTTGAATTTATAAAATAATATACAATACATAATATTATTATTATTAGAAAGCCAAATCCTTATTCTTCTTGTAGGTCTGTATTAACTCTAATAATCCTGAGCCTTAAAATAGAGGCTCTGCTAGTAGGCCTAGGCCTAGAATAGTACTGCAACAGTAGGCCTAGCTAGGGCCTAGCCTAGTACTACTAATCTATAGTAGTGTAGTAGTAGTACTAGGCCTAGCCTAGGTAATGCGTACTACTACTAGTAGCCTACTAGCCTGGGCTAGGCCTTAGTAGAGTAGAACTGTATAGGTAGGTAGGCCTAGGCTAACATAGGGCCTAGGCCTTGTAGGGCTAGTATTAGTAGTAGTACCACAAAACAGTAGTAACATAGTATGTTACTACTGTTTTGTGGTACTACTACTAATACTAGCCCTACCATACTGTTACTGGTAGTAGTAGTAGAGTAATATCTGCCTAGAAAGAGGCTAGGCTGGTATTTTATTAGCATGGTGGAGGTATTCTAAGAGATCACTTGAAAAGGCTCCACTCACGCAGCGCTATGCAAATGAGCCAAGAACAAAGTTGCTTATCAGTTTATACGTCTCTGTATCTTTAAGTATTATGAAAACAGAGCGGTGCGAAGAGTGTCAGTGCACGTACTCCATGGTATACTACTATAGAAATCATTCTATTGTGCACATCTAATGCACACGCATGGTATCAGCTAGTAGCAACCAGCACTTTGATGGATTTATAATATAGAGCCAGCAACTGCTGTTCTTGGACCCAAGTACTGGAAAAATATATCATTGGACTTGAAACAAAAAAAACTCTGTTGCTAGTTTCAAATGCAAATATAAACAATCTCTGCTTCAGGTATATGGTGCATAAACATTTTTCCTTTTTTTTATGCATGTATGAAAGTAAAGTAACTATATAGAAAGGAAAAAATGTAAACAATTAGCTTTTTCTTCCTTTACTCCTGTTGATTTTGTTTTCTTTATACTTTTGTGACTGGCGCTGTTGTAGGTGGTCATGATAGGTTTTCTTAAAACCTATTATGACCACCATTCACACGATAACCTTAAATCATTTAGAATTTTGTTAATTTTAACTAGAATTTTTAATTACCTTTGTAATTTGTAATTTGATTATGATTATTTATTGTATGTGTATATTTTTTATCGTGTGATAAAATAAATGAAACGAAACGAAACTGCTCTATAACTTGGGGTTTGATTATAAAAGGTCATAGAAAAGGTCATGGATGTCGCGAATGACATAATAAGTAATTATAGTCAAGTAATTACGTAGACTATAGGAAATAGAATGCTTATGAACCTCTTTTTCAGGCCGGAAATAATGGCTCCTTCGGCTTCTATTTCCTATAGTAAAAACCTGACTATAATTGTTTAATACCCCACTTTAACCTTAACATTAAGATAGCAAGACTGAAGTTGTAGTTAAAGTTAGTTGAGTACTAAGGTGCATTACCACCAGCCATTGTAGTCGACCCTGATGATAAGGATTGACTTAGCTCAAGTTAAGGTTAGTGGCGTACAAAAGTACATTAGCACCAGACATTGTAGTCGACCCTGATGACAAGGATTTGATTTAGGCCTATGCTTATTAGGTCAAGGCCTTACTACTACTGTTTAACTAGTTTTAGGGCCCGTTTTAAAAAAAATTTGTCCTCTTGTTCATGTCCTAGGCCTACAAGCTAAAAACGTCAACAAACATGAGGAGTGACGAATTATTTTGTGGGGGGGGGTGCTTAGGACTCTCCGCTCTGTTGGGCCTACCGTTGTCCTCGTTTGGTCGTCGTTCATAATTGTGCCAATGATCACAGCCGAAAACATTTGCTTTTTTGACCCACATCGAATCTTACTCCTCGTCATCATGACAGGAATGAGAAAGATACTATCCTATACAGTTAGGAAAACAATGTGTTGTATAAACAAAATGGTGACGTAATTTCTGTCATGAAAACCGATTTTCGAAAAATCAAAAATGCAGTTGCAACGCCAGCAGGCTGTCTGGTACTCATTAAAAAAACGGTTTTAAAAAATCGATTATTTTATGTTTATCTGTAGAAACACACCCTTAAATTGAGACTAGCCTAGCTAGCTAAGGCCGACTGTTTTCCCATCACCAGTATTCAAGGCCCTACCTACTTTTAATGAGAGGGCCTATAAATAAGCATTTTCTTGATTTCTATCTCCAGGAGGAATAATGATTTCCTGGAACTCAAGTAAAGAAGTAGTAAGTAAGTAAGTAATCAAGTAATTTTTAATACTCCAGACTGTTAAAATATGGTAGCGCAGGGAATATATTTTTCGCGCAAAAGTTTGATTGAGGCCTAGGCACAGATTTTTGCACAAATCAGGCCATATGAGTGTTATACAGTACACTGTATATCTGGATATGTGAAAATTTGAGCTAGTTTCTGAAGTATCATCCACGCAATTAAAACACGGTACGCATTACATTTTATTCGGAATTCGGGATAGTGCTATAAATGTTTTTTTTGTAGAGTTATTACGACATCATCAAGATTTTTTAACTACAACCTGGCAAGATTTTTTTTTTAACTCAATGACTTTGAGGGGCATCAATCAACATGGGTTTATGCTTGGGTAATTCCTCTTCCAGATATTTCCGCTGGAGGCGATGCTGATGTAATCTTTAATTTTTTTATTTTCGAAATTGTTATTTTTAGGAACAGAGTGTCAACATGTGTGTATAAAGTAAATGTACAGTAAAACTTTGATCCTAAAGCCCGCCTGCCCTACCTTCTGGATACCATCCCTGATATATCGTCGTCAGAAATTATGGAAAGCATTATCATGACAACAGATATATTACTTGCCCCAGTGACAGCATTAATGTTCAGTGGTCAGTTGCTACTTGCAGGTGAGATTAATAGATACACTGCGGCGGCCAACAGCCTGACAACGCTACGCCAGTGGCGGCATTTTAGGGGGGTTGGCCCCCCCCATTCGGAGAGACTTGATAAATAAATGATAAAATATATAGCACGATTATACTCTAAAATTTATAAAAACGAATTTGTCATTAAAATGTGAGTACAGGCCATATAAATTTCTTTCAACAAAGCTATACTGACCGAGGACTGTAATCACTTTAGTTTGCGAATAGTTACATAGAGGGATCTATATATGTATATTTTTTTTCTTGCGTATCAGACACCAACAAAGAAGCGTGTGGCACATCGGGTAACTTAGCATTGGACTTTACATTGGAAGGTCAGGCATTCAAGACTGATGCTCGTCACACTGCTTTTTTATACTCACACATTTTTCTGTAGACTATCAAAGATAGAGTCAAGGGGAGGCTTAAAAAACACATCTGTTAATTGGTCTGATTGATAAACAATAACAAACATTCATATATAGGTTGAGTAACAGCACAAGATAAATAAATACAATACTACCAATAATTCAAAATTAACTTGTTTGTGTGAATTTTGATATTTTTAATGGAACTAAATGTACAATCCTTGACATAGGTGAAGGCCCAAATCTTCATGTTTATGACACAAAGTCACAGAAGAAAATTGCATCTAAAAAGATATTCGCAAGCCAAAGAATTCACGGCATACATCATGGTGAGTACCTAGGCTGTATGTTTTTGTCTTTGTCCACAATGTTATCAGCTTTTATGGCAAATTTCTGTGATTGCCCATATATGGATATGTTGTGACATCATCATGCCCATATATAGCTATGATATGATATGTACACACACAGGTGTGCACAAATTTGTCATGTAAAAATTGAATCTGAGCTTTTTCATCTTGATAATTAATTTCATATTATAAATTACCAGTTTTTCTTACAAAACACCTATTTTGATACTTGCATTTTGATTGGTTAATTACTGACTCATTAAAACCAGGTTCATGTGAAGGATGGTTTCCTATAGGCCAAGTTTTACTCCGAAGTGTTTCTTTAATAGAAAAAGGTTATGATAAAATACTATTATTAGCTGAACCCCCAAAAGCCCCTTGGTTATGGGTTGGATAGTTCACATGGGATTACAATTTTATGATTTTTACTACCTTTATCAAGATTGAATTTTAAATTGATTGCAATTCCGACTGCCATTATAATTTTTGTTTTTACTTTTTCAGATAAAGAGAAATATTTTGTGGTATTCGGACAAAAAGTATTCTGCATCTTTTCTGTCTTATGGAAACCTGCAATAGGGATTTCTTGTAGGTAAATACATTATGTATCTATATACTAAACTAATGTACTAACTTTTTTTAAACAAATATTTGGGGCCTTCTTTCGGAGGATTTCCAAATCGTTATAAGGTATGTCCCTAAAGTAGTATACTGGTGTTCAAAATTAATGCTACTCCTACTCTATGCTGAGTGTTTGATTATGTTTCAATGTGCAGTACAAGAAGCTAGCTTCACTGCTACAAATGAATGTCTGAATGGTCCCATACACCAATATGCCAACTTCTAAGCACCCTATTAAGGTACCAGTTACTGTATCGGTAAAGGGTAAAAGTAGGAGAATAACCCATAACTTGCAGCGTCATTGAGTTGAATTGAATATGTGCGTGGTCTGTGTCTACCTAGCCTTCATAAAGAGGTGCTTTGGTATACATGTTCACATCATTCCACAATGACAAGTGCTGAAATGAACCATAGCATCAGGGTAACTACCTAGACATCCGAAAGTTGCAGTGTGTTCTTTAAAAGTGCACATGAACCAGATGTGTACACTGGACCTCCATTTTAAGTCCTTATCCGGGTGGCCCTGGTTCTTCCACCTGAACTCTGGGCGAGGAGCACCTCAAACCAGCGCCGATGTTAAGGCTGTAGTTAGCACCGCCCTGCCTTCCACTCAGCCATTCAACTATAGCACAATACTCAGTTGACCCTTTCAGCCACAGCAAGCCAGTAACTGGTACCCCAATAGGATGCTGGGAGGTTTATAATATTAGGTGGCATATTAGTGTATTGGACCTTTCAGACAGAAACCCTTGTTAATACTTATTGTGGTATTACAGCTCTTTCTGAAAGGTTGTACAATAAGCCTACTTTAATGCATTACATCACAATGCACTATTATTTTTCCTTATATACTCTTGAATATTTTAAGTTGAAAAACTTCCTTTTTACTCTGATAGTATTCAATTTGAGATGGATGTTCTTGAAGTGAGTGACTGGATATGGGACATCCAGTTTTTAATCAATAGCAGCCATATTGCTGTAGCATTAGGCCATAACTCCATTGAATTATGGGATTGGAGAGAAAGGGTTCTTCTCGAGGACATGCACTGCGAAGAGAAATGCATCTTGTATCCTTTTACCACTTACAGTAGTTTTTGAATGGTCATGTTTCCCATATTACTTGTTTGAGACACAGTAAGGTAATATTTCATTTATAATCATTGCATACATGTACAGTATCTTCCTTAAAGCTAAGCTCTGGAGGAAAAAAAAGTTTTGATATTATGTTGTACAAAAGATTTTTCCAAGACGCAAAAAGGGTGTTTGATGAAAACTTGGAAAAAAGGGTGATTACGCCCCTTTTCCCCCAGTTTTTTAATTTTAAAAAATCTGTATTTCATAAATCTTTTCCAAGTTTTTTTTGTCTTAGAAAAATCAGTTGTACATCATATCAAAAATTTGTTTTTGCTCTGGAGCCTAGCCAGCCAGTTTACATACAGTACAAACATGCTTCATTTTGGACAAGTGTGTTCCTCAGGTCTCGCTTAGCAACATCCTCTTGGACAATCGTATTTGTCCATGGCAGTCAACGTGTAAAAACGTGAATGGAATAAGCCCCAAATTCGCATACTGTTTATATAATATAAATTTGTAAAATCTATTTCTATTCCTTAAAAACATTGATAGATATTGTGCAAGTTTTTTCAACAGCAGTTGGTCAAATTTAGTCTTATTTGCTGGTACAGTGTTTAATCAAGTGTTACTATGGCGACCCTGTGGAATAAAGAACCAAGAGGGTAGAGTTATACCTGACCTCAGGTGTACTGGTCATGAGGTATACAAGAATATAATTATATTACATTTGTTTTCTATTACCATTCCCAACAGGAGGTGAATGAACCATTCTGGAGTGTCAGTCAAACTGACCAACCAATCAGAGCAGGACTGGAACAGAATAAATTATTATGTTGCAGTGTTATTGCACTTTTAGCTCTGACGAGGAGCTCTAGAAACACTTGGCTGATTGATTAATTTATATTTTTTGTGTGGGTGGCCGTTAGGGCCAACATACTCTACTGCCTCTTTTATACTGCCCTCGAGATTTACGAAAACTTGTTTTGTTTAATTCTGTGAAACACTGACAAATATCCATCACAATAATGAAAAGGGTTTTTGTAATTTTTGTCTTTTTTTATTGTTTTTGTTATTTAAATTATAAATTTTTAATAATATTTATTATTTTGCAGGGTGTGATTTTCAATGTGCAATATAGTTTGATTCATAAAGTTCTTTGTTCGGTATCGGATGATCGCAGCATCAGATTGTGGAGTATTGGATCACCGGAGTGTCCATCAAGACCAATATTGACTGATGCTGATCTAGTTCTGTACGGCCATAGTGCTCGGGTTTGGGCTGTCAGACTCATCAAGAATAATATCATTAGCATTGGAGAGGTATATATAGTTCATATTTACTCTCTTTAATAATCCTAAGTAAATTTGTTTTCTGGTGTAAAATTATTTTTCATTTACCTAATTTAGATTTCCTATAATATATTCTTAGTGTAAAATACAAGTTATTTCCATCGACATTATCAGTTTAAACAAATTCAAAGAGAAAAGTAAAAAAAATGATTACCAGTCAGCACTGCCAAATAAATAGTATTGATACAGGCTCTTGAAAAAACAATCATGAGTATTACATTTTAATTTTTTTTTTTACATGCAACATTAATATAATATATTTTATTATGGAATTTTCTGAAAAGTTAAACAAATCCTATTCTTGCCAACTAATTTAATAACTAATAATAATAATAATAATATTAAATAATAAAAAATGTTATACTGTAAGGATTGAATTTAGTATTTCTGTGATAATACCATATTTATTGCCCATGATAAATTTTATTAATTTCAAATTATTTTTATATAAGGATGCAACTTGTATTGTGTGGGATTATGAGGGCAAGATTCTACAAAACTTCAAGGGTCATAAGGTAAGCATAAAGAATGTATAGACTCAACACATATCTGGGTATTGAATTAGAGCAGCAGAGGTAAGTGCTGGGCTAACAGAGTAGATGGTGAACATGGTTTTATAACAACTAGAAAATTAAACATCACTTTTAAAATGACATCATTCCTATGATATTTCCCTGATGCAAACACACACTGAAATAGCATTTGCAGAAGCTGCTGCTACTTGAGGATCAGATTGAACATCTAGTGGTTATGGCGCCATGCTAGTTATCTGGCGGTTATTGGTTTACATCCCACCCAAATCACTTGCACATTGTTTCGCAAGTATTTGGGAACGTACTGAGTATTCAGTACAATAACACATCGGTAGGGTAAAACATCACTCCTTAACTAGATTGCTAACTAGGTGACGAAGCAATGCAAAGTTATTGGTTCTCAATAAGGTGCCCCCCTGTAGAAAGAGTGGCACTGTCATGCCTAGCATACCGACAACCATAAATAAGACTCATTATTTTATAATTATCATTAATATTAATAATTTATTACTGTAATCTAGCCTGGAAGTGGCCAAGTGGAGTAACTAATTTAAAAATAGCTGAGGAATGTATAGTACAAAATGGAATTGTGTTCACACACTGCACCGCTTAAGTTTAACATATGGATAACTTAGCTGTGTTTGAAAATTTCATATTAAAATGAGGGTGCCATTGAAAGCAATGGTTAGTCATATTTTGATTGGCTGAATATAATGCAGTCATCTTAAGTACCAATATACCAATAACTTTTAAATAAAAAATCCATTTGTTGATGCTCTTAGTATTTTAAAAATAAGTATATAGTAGTGAAATAACAGAGAGGTATGTTAACTTAAATGCAACAGGTTAAGATAAAATGTCACATTGGTTTGTATCTATACACCATTTTCACGAAATTTGAAATGAAAATATCCAAGAACCTGGCAACTACTACTGGGAGACTTCCAGAGGCCTAGAATTTCGCTCTACGTAATTACCATTATGGATTAACTAAACAATAAAGCTAATTAAATAACAAGCACAAATATTTTAAAATGCAAAAGCAATAAAATGTTGATATTAAAAACAAGTCTGAAGTCTTAATAAGCTATTTAAGTGTTTACATATAGTAATTAGCAGAAGATCATATCTGTTGCTTGCTGCTGCTGTAGCAAAGGTCTACCGGCGCTATTTGCTGCGCTGTGCTCTACTTGTAGCTAACCAGCTGCTCAAGGTAGGCCACTGGAAGTCCCCCAGTAAAAAGTTGCGAGATGTTGGTGGCACTGTTTCAAAATAGGCCCGATAAAATGGTGTATATTGTGAAGAGGTTTTTCCTGAATTTTCTTCTAAAAGAACATTTCAATGATGATTTATTTCATACAATTTGTTTGTGGATAATGTACATAAGATACAGTCAGTACCCCAAAAATATATATTCTTATTGTTTGACATCCACTCTTTTATAATACAATACAACCATTATTATATGTTTACAGGGTCGTAGTATTTGGAGTTTAACAGTTGACCAAGAAGAAAAAGTAATTGTGAGTTCTTTAAATCTAAATTCATTTAACTTGTTCTATTTGAGTGTAGTTTATAGAGTACTAAGTCACTGGCATCACAACAACATGTGACCTCCCAGACCCTTCATTATTGGGCAATGCTACCTAAACTGTCGATACTGCTGAAGCCATACTATCTTTTTAAAGCCTGGTTTTCATTGAATTGCTACCAGTCCCGGAACCAGAGAATTTCTAGATCCGAAATGAAGTTCACGCCACCATGCCCACCTCAGCCCCACAATGGTTGGTGTAAATAAGTGGTAAATAATCGAGCTTTCCTTTCACCCACTGCTGGATCACCACTGAACTCATGGGTACACTCCTTTTTTTCCTATTTGCTCTCTTTAAATAAATTTTTTCTCCCTCTTTTTTATTTTTTGGCATTTTTGTTTTCGGATCCGCCACTGGCTACATAGTTGCTGCAGCATTTTCACTGCTATCATTGTACTGCGTAGCCGATGCAATCGGGAACACTCCCTGATACAACTGACCAATCAGCATCACCAGGAGTCGGTGATAGCATGTAGCGATTTTTATGGAAACCATGCTTAACATAACTATACAACATTGCATCCATATTTTTGTTTTCTAATCTTATAAGGTATAAATAATTTTAAAATATCAGATAACTAATTGTGAACTATTAACAGTGAACTATTAATCAGAAATGAAGGAGTTATGTATGAGTTAGCTATAGACAGAGATGGGCAAAGTGCGGCCTGACAGTCATTCTTTTGCCGCCCACGAAAATGAATTAAAAACCTTATGTGTGCAGCCCGATATTACATCTTTGGCTAGAAAACACCTTGTTTTTTAAGGTCTGACATTGATTATCTGTAAAAATTAATGTTAAAACTGAGCATAAAGTGGTATAAGAGAAGTGAATGAAGGTTTTGGAAGTGTACTGGAAACATCAAAGTTCGGTTGCGGCCCTCGGTGTTAAATCAAAAATTCACTTTGGCCCTCTGACTCATTTTTATGCCCACCCCTGCTATAGAGCCACTCAACCATAATGACCACTTGGTAGATACAGTAGTTGCTCAGTAGCAAAAAAGCGTCACATTGTTTTGTGCTGTAGTTACATAGTGATCTATATACAAAAATAAATAGATAGGTTGGCAGGCAGATGCAGATAAATATTTTTTGATTGCACAGCAATGTTTGGACCTAAGAAGTCATGTGCATACAGAAATGTTGAGTTTTTATTGTTGTCTGGATTCTAAGACTCAGTTTCGCCCGAATCCACGTTGTGCAGAGGACATAGAATGGTTACGGATGAGTGAATCCTTTCTAGGGTTACATCGTCACACAAACTGAAAGTTTAGATACCTTAACAACTTTAACTCGAATTACAATAATTGTCATAAGCCTCAAGTTTTCCATATACTTACACTTGTGTACATTCAGGTGTCCATTATGGCTGCTGCTAAGAATCTATTTCGGTACCTTATTATCCCACTAGGTAGTTACTCAAGGATTAGGCATTTCACAGACCTCTATTCACACTTGCTCAAATACACACTAAATGTCTCTAAGAGCCTGTGGCGCAGTGTGTAAGCTGTTGTACTTCTGATCTGGAGTTTAAGAACAACACTTGTCGCATTACTTGTGTCCTCGGGCAAGGCACTTAACTTATGTTTGCCTCTCACCACCCAGGAGTATAAATGGGTACCTGGTAGGATGGTACCTGGTATGTGGTTGTGCATGTAAAGCAGCATGACAAGAGAAAGTTGAGCAGAGAAAGTTGTTCAAAAATGTGCTGGTTTGCCAACTAAGTATCTAGTGACCAGGGAAACACTGATGCCAGCGCCTTTGTATATTCTCCGAAATGTGAAAGGCAACATATAAATTTGGACTTTAAAAAAAAAAATGATATCAAATGACATAGTGTCAGAAAAAGAGTAAAGAGAATTATTAACATTACTATATTTTTTTTAACATTCTGACAATAATTGTTAGTACTATATAATTTTAAATACCAAAAATTATTGCTTTTCTTAGGCAACCGGAGGTGGAGATAGCAGCATACGTCTGTGGTTTCTAGATGAGGCGTCACAAATTGGTAAGAAAGCCAAGTGACTTTAATTTCAATTTAAAATATTTTGATGGCCACAAAATATATTTTTTATGAATGATATTGTATTTTGTTGGCATTCTAGATACTGTGGTGGAGTGTGTAGATTTGCAAGGTTATATGAAGACCCATGATGGATTTGTTAAGGAGGACTTTGCTAGGTCTGTAATGTTGACAAATAGTGGGGAAGTAATTACTATGACTAATGCAGGGTAAGTATCCTAACATCTAGTCATTAAATGTGTGTGTATGCCTAGCTAGGTACGCTAAACTGGCGGAAGCCACTGTATATGCGCTGAACCGTGAAGATGTTTGCTTCCCGGTTCAATTCCCATCGCTGCGCTCTTTGTGCTCAAATGCAAGTTCCAATAGTGTGTGAACTTGCTATTTGATGTGATAAAAATGAAGTACTGTAGAAGTAATTATTTAAATAGTAAATTATAGTTACCAAAAGCAGTCAAATATAATAACTATTTTTTTCTCACCTCTTATTAGATACCTGCTCGGTTACCACCTCCAAAATAAACTGTGGAGAACGATCTTCTGTGATGAAAGATTCCAGTCTTACGGAATCACTTCCTTGTCACCATCACATCAAATGGTTGCCCTTGGTAATATTCATGGAGACATAAGAATTGTGGATCTCAGTAAGTATAGTTATATAGGATAAGTATACCATACATCATCATCATCATCTAGCTATTTCACTCCACTGCAGGAGGAAAGCCTCTATCGAATTGCTGTTCTGTGCTCCTCTCCTCCATATAATGCCTTTGAATTCTTGTACTTCATCCATCAATCACCTTCCTTTCTGTCTGCTTCTCCTGACTCGATTTCTTGGCACCAAATCCATTACTTTTCGTGTCCATTTATTATCTGTCCTTTTTGCTATGTGACCTGCCCATCTCCATTTCATCTTCTTTATTTCTTGTATTCTGTCATTCACTCCTGTAGCCTTTCTCACATCTTCATTTCTGTCTCTTTTTGTGATTGCCATCATTGTACGTTCCATTGCTCTTTCTGTCACTTTCAATCTCTGTTCCATTGTCTTGATAGTTGCCCATGTTTCTGCTGAATATGCCAAGACTGGTATAATACAGTACATTTGATTAAACAGCTTTTTTTTAAGTGAAAGTGGTAAATTTTTGTCACGAAATATGAATCCAAGTTTTCCAAATTCTACCCACACTAACTGGATTCTTCTCTTTACTTCTGCAGTGGTGTCATCCTCTATCCTTATCTTCTTGCCCAAGTATATGTAATTCTCTACTTTTTGAATTGTCTTTCCATTTAGTGTTATAGTACTACCATGTGCTAGTTTATTATAGTTTTTACATTTTTACAAATCATTTTTTATTTCCAATTTAAAGGTTGTCCAGATAGTTCACAGTGTTTAAATGCATTTGAGAGTAAAGTACTTGGACTATGTTGGGCTGAGGATCAACATCTTTTCTCATCAGGACCAGAGGGTCAACTGGTAAGAAGACAAGATTTCTTTTAATAGTTTTGAAATAAAATTTGCATATAATAATTTGATCCTTGATTAATGATATATACTGTATGTGTACATTCTCTCTTTTGTTTTAGATTCTGTGGGATGTTAGTATGACTGCAAATAATCTAACAGCAAAGAAATTGATGATGTTTATCTTGCCAGAATCGAGGCAACGCTGGATTACAACAGCTGTTAGACTTCCACAAGGAAAAGGATTCTTATGCGGAGATAAGCGTGGTTCACTACATCACTTTGTTTGCTCAAATAGTGAAATTCACCAGGTATGATTACAGTTTATTTGTGACACAGTAATATTATTAGTTTAAATTTTATACCATCGCATAGTTTCTCTCCACTGCTTAGGATTTTCACATGGTTAGTTTTCTTAACTTATATCGAGTGCTTTATGGAAGGAAGCAATTATGACCATAATGTGTCTTTACAACGATAAAAAGTTATATTCTTTCACTAGGGCTTTGGAATAGCAAATTTAGCTCAGACTTCGCTGCACTGCTTGCTAAAGTTTATGTGCATTCTCCTCTCTTCAATAATATCTCCGTTGTTGCAGAAGTTATTTTGTTTTTGTCCAACTTTCCCAATAGCTGTGATTAAAGTTCTAATGAATTCACATGACTTTTGATATAGGAGATATTATATTACTAATTTTCAATTTGATTGTTCTCACATACCATTTTCATTCCAGCCAATTTTTCCTGTCACAACTTTACGAGGTGTTCATGGAAAAGTTGGTGTGACGGATATCTGCTGCCACGAGGATCACATTTACAGCACTGGACGAGATGGTACCTGCAAAGAGTACGACCTCAGTGGCGGTGTTCTACAAATAATGAATACTAACAGAGTAAGAAATATACATTAATTTAAATTGCATTTTAAGTGTATAATAAAATCGTAATGATATTTAATGTTTGCATATGTACCTGTAGGTATTAGATTTGATTTTATTTATGGAAAGATTTGACATTGTAAGAATGAGGGTAAATTAGACAGTACACTAGGAGACAATACTTTCACTTTTCTAAAATGCACTGTTTTCTTACCATGCACTAATGTCTTTGGTTCCTGGAAAAGAGGTGCTATACTTCTTTCACAAGCTTGATGAATGAATTTTAAAATTAAAGTGAAGTAATACTTGCCTTTCTCCCAACCTTTTCCCAGTGAAATTTAGCCTTCCTGTGTACATACAGTCTATTTCGTGAATACTTACCTGGATAAACCGACTAATTACCGCGCTGGCCCCCTACCAAGTTTGCGGCGGCTCTTGATTGGGCAGCTCAGGCTGCCCCTTGATCTCAGAGTTCGTTGCCGGCTGCGTCGGGGGTTGTTGCGGCGTCGGATGATTCTTGTTAGGGGGCCAGCGCGGCAATTAGTCGGTTTATCTAGGTAAGTATCTCACTCATAGACTACCAACATCATGATTGATTTGTGTAATTTATTGTAAATTCAGCACTGTCCGGGTCGAAGTGAGCAAAATCCATAATAACCTGGCAAAATCACATTAGCAATTTGGCTAATCTCCAGCCATATACTTCTAATTCAATTAAAAGGTTATTATTGTTTTCTTTGCATAAGTATTATTTCAGGTTTACGGATAAGTTAGTGAGCATCTAGTCTACTCCTATATGCACTTGCCTTCAGACCTGTCTGGCCATTTTGTGAAGCAGATGAACTCTCTGACCTCTTTTTTTTTCTTTCTGAACGTTCTGAGACTTATGCCTTCTTTTTTTCATTGTTGTCTGATGACTTTTTTATGTTTTTTATTGTTTTTGTCTTTTGAATTCATACTAATTGAGTTCTTATGAAAGCTAATTTTAAATATAAATAAATATTAAATAAAAAGTTCTTTATAAAGTTGTGGAAATGTGTAAGCGATGAAAAAAAATGAAAGTTGCAATTATTTAAAACATTGATTTGAGATTAAATTGCAATTATGTATTCTCATTTTGAAATTCCATGGCATATTCCATAATTTGTTTTCAATTTTATTGCCAGATTTACAAAGGTTTTGAATGGATTGAAAAATTGATCATTAAAGAAAATGGTGAAATTCAAGTTTTAGGATTCCATACGGTGAGTGATTTTTTTATTGATTTGAAAAATATTTTGCAAGTTAATAACAATTAATTGTATTTTGGTGTCAATTTCTTCTCATACTTACAGTCACAATTTGTTGTCTGGTCAGTGACCCAGAATCAAAAGCTATTCCAGGTGAAATGTGGTGGAGGTCATCGAAGTTGGGGGTTCGCTGAGCCCGACAATACAGCCTGCTTGGCCTATATCAAAGCCAAGGATGTGTTTATATGCAAACAGTCAGTACTTCGGAAGCAACACATACTCAAGGTATGATACCAAATCATGAGTGGTGATAGTGTTATAAAATGGTATAGATTGGTAGTGCCCAACTTCCTATTCTAGGATCCAGAGTTCAAATCCTGTTAAATTCTAGTTTTTAATGTTTATTACAAGGTAGAGTATTATGCATCGCTTTAATGTTGTTTTTTTGTTTTTTTTTTTAGTAAGAAATTAAATAACTGAAGATGAGAACTCCTGCTCTGCTGTCCTTGTTTACCGTTATAAAAATTGTGACCCAAGCTCACAAACAGGATGTAAACTCATCCTCAAGCCAAAATGAGTTTTTGTTATAATGGCATAGAACATATAATTTACTTTAAAATGACAGTTAAATGAACTCAATTGGGCGTCTGGAAGCAAAGTTATGACCGTTTGAATAATTGTCATCTTCTCAACTTTCTTAAATCAAGTTTTGAGAAAAATGCTTTTATTTTTGGCGATTTCCTATTCATTTTCACTAACTCCCATTTGAAAATGGCAAAATTTTGCCTTTTACAGTTTGAATATTAATAATTATACTTTATTTATTACACAAAAACCCAATTCACACGAAATTCATATTTTATGGCATGTTCTGGCTATTGGGGCTTGTTTCTCAATACAGTGCTGTGCGAGTTTACAGCCTGTTTATGAGCTTGGGTCACAATTAAACTTAATGATCATATGCATGACATGTAAACCATTGCTAATGCATATACTGTACAGTAATATGTGAGACAATTTTTAGTTCAAAACTGCCACCTCAAAAGTGTCCATAGATGATTTTGAGAGCTAGACTATACCTTGACTAGTAAGCATTTTTCTAACCTGAGCTTAATACATCCTATTCCAGGATTATTTATCAATTGAAAAAAATGAGCCTCACTCCTTAACATTCATTTTGAGACTGACTTTGTAGTAGCATTGTTCCATCATACAATCAGTAAAAGATGTACTTGTGAAAAAAGCATCTATATTCTCAGCCGGCCATGCGTAGTTACCCCACTGTAGACATGCTGTGAAATGGTTCACGCTATGTTTCACCCTTAGGTGCGAGTATTCTGTGGCTTATGAGTGAATAAAATAGTGGCTGCATCTCATCAATAATATTGGTAACATCAGGCCATTAAAACCAATACAAATAACCCCCCCCCCCCAAAAAAAAAAAATAGGATAACAGAAATAATTTAAATATGTAAAATGTTATTACTTTCAGAATAGTTTGCATGGGAGAGAGCTGACGTGTGCAAAATTTCTTGGTAGAATCAATGTAAAAGGTAAAGGCAGTTATCATGAACCCAAGGAGAGAAGAACATTGTAGTGTTTTGTATTTTATGTATTTACCCTTGAAAAATAAATAAAGCCTTTATCTTATCTTATAAAGATGTCTATTCACAGCGTTTTTTTACTACCATATCAGTTAAGGAAGTCTGGATGATTTAACAGGGGTTCCCCCGCAAGTCACGAGAGTCTCGACAGCTTCCCGCAATCTCGCTACCTCACAGCAATCTCCTGGAAAATAACCCATTTCCCGCAAATTCATTAAATATGCATGTTTACCAAGTGTATCATCCCTTTATTATCATTTGTCTCACAGTAGTCAGGATGATTGATATCACCATGGACCTGTAGGTCCATGTACCAACTAAGGTTTTCTGATTTAGTATAAAATTCTGGTTCGAACAAATGTATTTTCGGTAAAAATACATAAAATATCACTGTTTATCTAGGCCTATGATTGCCAGTACTTTTACTTCTGTCTTGATGAGAATTAGGACTTTTATCTTATCAGAATGTGTCTTGTGTTTGTATTAAACTATTATCTCAGTTTAAATTGAATTAAAAGGCTTTTTTTAAGCTGAACTCATTGGTCGGCCTGATTGAAATTACTCAATTGCTGCCATTAAAGGATATCTGCTGAACATCCTACATCTTTTTATCCACTTTTTTTTCTATCTCTTTAAAGGGAGGGGACTGTATATTTTTTTATTTAGTGTTGTCATTCTCTCCAAGATATCATTTCTATTAAAAACCATGCAATTAGTTAATTTCTTTTTTATTCTTCTTTATTTGGTTTCTCCATCTGTTTTTCAATTTATTATTTTGTCTGTTTATTATTGAAGGTGAATCTTATCTGCTTGTTGCAACAGGAAGTGAGGACACAACAGTGAACATTGTAGCAATAGATTGTATCCTTGATGTAATTTCCTTATCAGTAGGATTAATTTAATTAAATATTATCTAAATACACAGAAAACACAAACACACAAAAAGTAATAAGTAAACAAAGTATGCAATTCAAATATTGATTGCATTGTTTAAATTTATTAACAAATCATGTGTATTATAATATCGGGTGATTAAATTTGATAATCATATCGTATGTATTATAATAATATCCCTTAATGAGATGGTCGATATAGGTAGAACATCTGAAGCAGCTGTTGTTAAGACATTGCAAGATCATGTGTCTAGTGTGCGAGACTTTGCCACATGTGAATCTCATACCGGTCACATGACTAAAATGCAGGCTGGGGAATCAAAAAGTATGGACAGCCAAAGATGTCAGAATGAGAAAGGAGATGAGCAGAAGTCCGTATTGTTATTCTCAGTAGGAGGCAGATGCAGTATCAAATGTTGGAAACTTTTCGTGCAAAATAATGCAGTAAGCTAATTTTTAATGTAATCATTTATTTTTTTAAATATCACATTAAATTAATTTAATACAAATATTAAAATGTTAAAATAGAATTATTTTTTTAATTAATGCCATTATCCTTTATTGCTGGAAAGCAATTACAGGTTTGGACAAATAATATTTATTTATTCTTTTATTTATTTATTCATTTGTATTTGTGTATTGATTAGAAATAAAATCTTGGCGCTTTTTTAAATACGTAGGAGAACTTGTCATCCGCATGTACAGTTTCTCTGCTTGCATCTTATGGGACACTTGAAACAAATCAACGGCGTAAACGACTTAAACGTGGACAGCCACTTGATCCTGACACACGCTACATGGCACTTCAAGTTTTGTCCGCACATGATTTAAATAAATCACTCCCTCATCATGTTGAATTTTTAACGATTGCGGCATCTGATGGAGTCGTACGGTAATAATATGAATGATATAGAATTGTGTTTTTGACATTATTCTGCTGATTAGCTAGTGGTGATGGCTGTGGTTAATTTATCCATTTTTAAAATGCTTGACATTCTCATATTATAAATATTGCAATACTGTATTGCAATGTTGGGAATTAGGCAGTTGTGGAC